AATCATCTAGGGTGGAGTGAGTGGGTGGCCGAAGGCCCCCCCACCGTGTTCTTGGGCGTCTGGGTGAGGAGGCAATGGGACTTGGGGAGGATGGCTGTTGGTTACACAGGGGCTGTAGCGGCGGTCTCTGCTCCTGCTGGCTTTCCTGCAGCTCAACCATATGCTGTAGCATTGGGGAGGAGGGCTGTTGGTTACACAGGGGCTGTAGCGGCGGTCTGTGCTCCTGCTGCCTTTCCTGCAGCTCAACCATACGCTGTAGCATTGGGGAGGAGGGCTGTTGGTTACACAGGGGCTGTAGCGGCGGTCTGTGCTCCTGCTGCCTTTCCTGCAGCTCAACCATACGCTGTAGCATTGGGGAGGAGGGCTGTTGGTTACACAGGGGCTGTAGCGGCGGTCTGTGCTCCTGCTGCCTTTCCTGCAGCTCAACCATACGCTGTAGCATATCAGTTTGATGCTCCAGCAGCCGGAGCATGGACTCTTGCTTTCTGTGTGCAAGCTGACGCCACCTCTCATCTTCAGCCCGCAACTTCCTCTGTTCCTCCTGCGATTCAGCCCGCCACCTCTCCTTCTCAGCCCGCGATTCAGCCCGCCACCTCTCCTCTCGCTCATATTGGGCTTTTCGATAATCAGTCATTGACTGCCTCCACGCATTCTGCTGTGCTCTGTCAGCGTGGGAGGCAGTCTGTAGTTCTGTAAACATTTCGTCACGTGTCCTTCGCTTACGTTTTCGAATATTCACTAGCCTCTGCGAAGGAGAGACATGTGCAGCTGGTGGATGAGAAGGGAGAGGTGGTTAAAAAAGATACATTTTAGAGAACAATGGGTACACTCTTTTATGTTACATTTTGCTGTTCACATTACACAGCAGATGTGCTTTCGTTACAAGGTCGCATTTTTCCTCTTATATGGAGGGCCTGCCTGTTTGGTGTGAGAGATCACTCACGCAGTGCCTGGTCACAGATTTCAGCTTGCAGGCAGCCATGGTAAGACACAGTCTTTTGGCTTTTTTAACCTTCTTAACATCTGGGGATGGTTTCAAAGAGTACTGCTATCATTAACCATACCAAGGACCCGTTGGGTTGGCCATTTAAAATGGGTTTGCGATGTAAAAGGAGGGGCTGCGGTTTCAGGGTTAACATGCAGCACAAACCCAACTAATTCCACTCCACCCCCCACCCAATTCTCGGATGATCACTTCACCCCTCCCCTCACCGCGTGGCTAACAGCGGGGAATATTTCTGTTCAGCAGACCAGGAAGGGGCACCTCTGAATGTCCCCTTAATAAAATTGCCCCATTTTAACCAGGTGACCGTGAATGATATCACTCTCCTGAGGATAACAAAGAGCGATAAGGAATGGATGTTGTCTGCATGCCAGCAAACACCGGGACCATACGCTGCCATGCTTTGTTATGCAATGATTCCAGACTACGTGCTACTGGCCTGGCGTGGTAAAGTGTCCTACCATGGCGGACGGGATAAGGCAGCCCTCCCCAGAAACCTTTTGCAAAGGCTTTGGGAGTACATGAAGGAGAGCTTTCTGGAGATGTCCCTGGAGGATTTCCGCTCCATCCCCATACACGTTAACAGACTTTTCCAGTAGCTGTACTGGCCGCGATTGCCAGGGCAAATTAATCATTAATCATTAAACACGCTTGCTTTTAAACCATGTGTAATATTTACAAAGGTACACTCACCAGAGGTCCCCTGTGTGCCCTCAGGGTCTTGGGTGAGTTCGGGGGTTACTGGTTCCAGGTCCAGGGTGATAAACATATCCTGGCTGTTGGGGAAACTGGTTTCTCCGCTTCCTTGCTGCTGTGAGCTATTTACATTATCTTCATGCTCATCTTCCTCATCCCCAGAACCCGCTTCCCTGTGTCTTTCCCCAGTGAGGGACTCATAGCACATGGTTGGGGTAGTGGTGGCTGCACCCCCTAGAATGGCATGCAGCTCCGCGTAGAAGCGGCATGTTTGCGGCTCAGCCCCGGACCTTCCGTTTGCCTCTCTGGCTTTGTGGTAGGCTTGCCTTAGCTCCTTAATTTTCACGCGGCACTGCTGTGCGTCCCTGTTATGGCCTCTGTCCTTCATGGCCCTGGAGACCTTTTCTAATATTTTGCCATTTCGTTTACTGCTTCGGAGTTCGGCCAGCACTGATTCATCTCCCCATATGGCGAGCAGATCCCGAACCTCCCGTTCTGTCCATGCTGGAGCTCTTTTGCGATCCTGGGACTCCATCACGGCTACCTGTGCTGATGAGCGACCTGTGCTCTCCACGCTGAGCAAACAGGAAATGAAATTCAAACGTTCGCGGGGCTTTTCCTGTCTACCTGGCCAGTGCATCTGAGTTGAGAGTGCTGTCCAGAGCGGTCACAATGAAGCACTGTGGGATAGTTCCCGGAGGCCAATAACGTCAAATTCCGTCCACACACACCCAATTCCGACCCCCTAAGGCCGATTTTATCGCTAATCCCCTCGTCGGAGGTGGTGTTAAGAAACCGGTTTAAAGGGCCCTTTAAGTCGAAAGAAAGGGCTTCGTCGTGTGAACGTGTCCAGGCTTAATTCGATTTAACGCGGCTAAAGTCGACCTAAACTCGTAGTGTAGACCAGGCCTGAGTCTGTCCCAGACCTTCAGGGAGGAAGGTCTGTCTCCTGAGCAGGAGACCAGCACCCAGGACAGCGTAGTGCTGGGCAGGCTCAGGGAAGCAGAGTGGAGCTTCAGCCTGATACCTGCCAGACTGCCGGCCCTGAGTAGAAGGGCCTAGAGGGTGCAATGGGGTCAGAGGGGAAGTGACCTAGGGAAGGCTGAAGGCAAGGGGACAGAAGGAGGGCCGAGAGGCTGCCGTTAGAGGGTCCCTGGGTCGGGACCCAGAGTAGCGGTCAGGCCTGGGTCCCCCCCTTTCCCGCTTGTGCTGCACCGGGCCATGGAGCAGTGGCCGAGTCAGGCTGCAACCTGCCCCCTGACGTAAGAGGGGCTAGACTTGGGGGGTTGTGGCAGGCCGCTGAGGCCAGTGCAAAGACTCCTGTTAACCCCCCCCGGAAGGCGGTGTGGATGGACTAAGGGGCACTGCCGGAGGGCAGTGGTCCGGAAGAGGATGCCGCAAGCCCGAGAGCGAAGCGGGTCTACACGCCAACCGAGGGCGAGACAACGGACGGGACACCACCAGGAGGAGGCGCTCCACTGGACAGAGCTAATTCCCGAGACAACCAGTAGAAGGCGCCAGGTGGTGAGACCCAACCCTGTCACATATCTACAAAAAAAAACCTGATTCAAAAACAAAACAATGTAAAATTTTAGATCCTGCAAGTCCACTCAGTCCTGCTTCTTGTTCAGCCAATCGCTCAGACAAACAAGTTTGGTTACATTTGCAGGAGATAATGCTGCCCGCTTCTTGTTTACAATGTCACCTGAAAGTGAGAACAGGCATTCTTGTGGCACTGTTGTAGCCGGCGTCGCAAGATATTTACGTGCCAGATGTACTAAAGATTCATATGTCCCTTCATGCTTCAGCCACCATGCTGATGATGGGTTCTGCTCAATAAAAATTCAAAGCAGTGCGGACCGACACATGTTCATTTTCATCATCTGAGTCAGATGCCACCAGCAGAAGGTTGATTTTTCTTTTTTGATAGTTCAGGTTCTGTAGTTTCTGCATCGGAGTGTTGCTCTTTTAAGACTTCTGAAAGCATGTTCCACACCTCGTCCCTCTCAGATTTTGGAAGGCACTTCAGATTCTTAAACCTTGGGTCAAGTGTTGTAGCTATCTTTAGAAATCTCACATTGGTACCTTCTTTTTGTTTTGTCAAATCTGCAGTGAAAGTGTTCTTAAAATGAACAACATGTGGTACGTCATCATCCAAGACTGCTATAACATGAAATATATGGCAGAACACAGGTAAAACAGAGCAGGAGGCATACAATTCTCCCTCAAGGAGTTCAGTCACAAATTTAATGAACACATTTTTTTTAACGAGGGTCATCAGCATGGAAGCATGTCGGACACTCTGGAATTGTGGCCTAAGCATGAAGGGGACATATCAGTGTTTAGTACAGGGGTCAGCAACCTTTCAGAAGTGGTGTGCCGAGTCTTCATTTATTCACTCTGATTTAAGGTTTCGCGTGCCAGTAATACATTTTAATGTTTTTAGAAGGTCTCTTTCTATAAGTCTATAATAGATAACTAAACTATTGTTGTATGTAAAGCAAATAAGGTTTTTAAAATGTTTAAGAAGCTTCATTTAAAATTAAGTTAAAATGCAAAGCCCCCCCGGACCGGTGGCAAGGACCCGGGCAGTGAGAGTGCCACTGAAAATCAGCTTGCGTGCCGCCTTCGGCACGCATGCCATGGGTTGCCTACCCCTGGTTTAGTATATCTGTCATGTAAATACCCTGCAATGCCAGCTACAAAAGTGCCATGCAAATGCCTGTTCTCACATTCTGGTGACATTGTAAATAAGAAGAATGCAGCATCATCTCCTGTAAATGTAAACAAACTTGTTTGTCTTCGCTATTGGCTGAACAAGTAGGACTGAGTGGACTTGTAGGCTCTTAAGTTTTACATTGTTTTGTTTTTGAGTGCAGTTATGTAACAAAAAAATCTACATTTGTAAATTGCACTTTCACGACAAAGATTTCATTACAGTACTTGAATGAGGTGAACTGAAAAAAATACTATTTCTTTTGTTTATTTTTACAATGCAAATATTTGTAATGAAAAATAATGTACGCTTTGATTTCAATTACAACACAATACAATATATATGAAAATGTAGAAAAACATCCAAAATATTTAATAAATTTCAGTTGGTATTCTATTGTTTAACAGTGCGATTAAAACTGCGATTAATCCTGATTAATTTTTTAATTGCGATTAATATTTTTGCGTTAATTGCGCGAGTTAACTGTGATTAATCGACAGCCCTACTATAAACTAGTAACTTCCATGGACATGTATTAGTAGTTCGTTTTGCAGGTATAAATGAAAAATCTTTTGTTTATTGTAGAAGACCACCACGTCCCAATAGTGCAAGGCCAGCTCCCCCCCGGATAAAACGACAAGAAAGTGCAGAGGTTTTACTTCCAGAGAGGTAAGGGAAGGGGAGTGAGTGAGTGAGTGAGTGTGTGTGTGTGTGTGTGTGTGTGTGAGAGAGAGAGAGATATGCAGAATAAACATTCCTAGTTATCCCAATGCATCATTTTGTGGTGTGCCATGTGACACTCACCCGTAACAACGATACTAAAATATACACACTGTACATGGCTTCAGCTTAGAAAATTTTAAGATTTGGTATGCTGGTCTTATTGTTTCTGCAGAACCAGTACAAAGTGAAACTGATCTGTGGTATCAGAAGCTTTGAAAAGCAGATAAAATGGTCAGCTGTTGCAAACTCTGGAACAATAAATCTTATAATGCTAATCTAAAATAAGCCCAGAAAAGACCTGTCATGTATGCAGTGAATAGACCATGGCCCCAGAATGCTGAAGGTGCCTTTTGAAACTATTCCTAATTACCAAAATGATAAGCATCTGATAAATGCTAATGTCCTCTAATCCAGAAAAGCAAGTTGGTGGTTAAAAGAAAAAAAAATTATTTCTGTGGCCAAATAAAAGACATGTATGATAACTGTTGTTCTTTGAGATGTGAGTGCGGACATGTATTCCACTCAGGTGTGTGTGCGCCTAGCACTACCTGTAGAAGTGGCATTCATGCCTTTTCCTTCACATCCCTCCCATGGCTATATGGCAGTGCCGTCCCGACCCCCCTTCCCTTTCTTTGCACTGAAACCCCAGGCTGGAGACTCCAGTGCTGAGGGATCAGATGGTGGGCTGTGGAATATATGTATGCACTCTCATCTCGAAGAACAAAAGTTACGATACCGGTAAGTAACAGTCTTTTCTTCTTCAAGTGGTTGCAGACATGTATTCCATTCAGGTGACTCTCAAGCAGTTTGAGCAGCAGGTGGGGGTTCAGAGTCTATTTAAACAGTGACTGCAGAACTGTTGTCCCAAAGTTTTCATCCGATCTCAACGCCGTAGTGATAGCATGATGTTTAGCAAAAGTATGCACAGAAGACCATGTCACTTGCCTGCAGATATCCAGTATTGAAATATCGCTAAGGAATCCAATTGATGTCACTTGATCTCTCATTGAATGAGCCCATAATGACTGAAGGGATGTCATATGAGCAACTTCATGAGTTTAGGTAATACGAGCAGTTATCCACTCGGAAATGGTCTGAGTGGAGACCAGTTGTCCTTTCATCTGCTCAATAGTCGTGATGATGTATAAAACTGTTTAGTCCTTTAATAGATTTCATAGAATATCAGGGTTGGAAGGGACCTCAGGAGGTCATCTAGTCCAACCCCCTGCTCAAAGCAGGACCAATCCCCAGACAGATTTTTGCCCCAGATCCCTAAGTGGCCCCCTCAAGGATTGAGCTCACAACCCTGGGTTTAGCAGGCCAATGCTCAAAACACTGAGCTATCCCTCCCTTCTAAATAGAATGCTAAGCACCGCCTGACATTTAAGGGATATAGATGTTGTTCATCCGCACTTGAATGTGGTTTGGAAAAAAATATAGGTAAGTAAATAACCTGTTTAAAGTGAAATGGAGATACCACTTCGGACAAAATTTTAGATGTGGTCTTAAAGCCACCTTGTTCTTGAAGAATTGAGTGTACAAGGATCTGCCATTAGGGCTTGTATCTTGTTCACTCATCTTGTGGATGTGAGAAGAGAGCCAATAAACATGTTGCTATCGGCTCGAACTGCAGGCCCTTTAGCACCGCCAGCCCCCTGCTAAGGTCCCACAATGGCACAATTTCCTTCACTGGTAGAAAAAGGAGAATAATACCCTTAAAAAAAACCTCACTATCATGGGGTTTGAGAATACCGACTTTCCTTGGATGGGAGGATGGAAAACTGAGATCACAGCCAAATGAGCATTCAGGGAGCTAAAAGCTAGACCCAAAGATGTCAAATGCAGCAAATAATCCAAAAATATCCTGAATCCAAGTTGATATGGGCTGAATTTGCTTGGATGTTGCCCAAATCAAAAATTGTTTCAATTTAGACAAATAGGTGGACCTTGTAACTGGTTTTCTACTACTAAGCAGAATTTCCCTAACTGCTTCCAGGAATTGCCCCTTCTCATTTAGCCCTGCAGCATCCATGCAGTGAGTTGTTGTTCATCTGGCAGTCAGCAGTCTACCTATCTGTGATGAGTCAGCAGGTTGCGAAGAAGAGGGTAGAGACTTGTGAGTTGGAGGGATAGAGTGGTCAGAAAACCAACATGCTTTGGCCATGTTGGTGTGATCAGAATCAGTTTGGTATGTTCCCGTTTGAGCTTGAGGATAAATCTGAGGGATAGGAGGAAAGGCATACATTGGGTCCCTTCTACAATTCACTTGTAACATTTTGGTAAGGGATCCCAGGCCAAGTCCTGCTTGGAAACAGAACTGACATTTCCTGTTGTCCTTTTGTCACAAATAGGTCAATTGAATGGACCTCAGCACACTGTTCTTTAGGGACAACTCGTGGTTGTCCGAGAAAGCCCTGTTGGGCTACTTGGCTAGCTGGTTCTGAGAGCCTGGCAAGTAAGCTGCTGTGGGTATAATACCGTCCTTGATGCAGCGCTGTCAGAACTTTATTGCCTCTTGATAAAGCTGGATGGAGCTGGCTCCCACCTGCTTGCTCATCATTGCAGTAGTATTGTCTGTGAGAATATGAATCGCTGCCCCCAGGAAATGGTTCCGAAAAGCCCAACAGGCATTGTAAGTTGCTTGAAGTTCCAGCATGTTGATATAACAGGAAGGTTCCTGTTCTTACCACAAACCATGAACTTGTAACACTCCTAGATGTAAAAAGCAACAGAGAGTTCTGTGGCACCTTATAGACTAACAGATGTATTGGAGCATAAGCTTTCGTGGGTGAGTATTCCAATACATCTGTTAGTCTATAAGGTGCCACAGGACTCTTAGTCTGGATCTGTAAAAAGCAACAAACACGGCTACTCCTCTGATACTTGATTCCTAGATGTGTTCCCCAACCTATTGTGGAGGCATTGGCAAATACTGTTCTGTTTAGTGGAGGGTGGGCAAAGGGGACTTCCTGACACATGTTGTATTCTGTCTACCATTGTAATGAGTCGCATATCTCTGGCGGCACTCAGACAGTAGTGTCCAGTGGCTAGCAACTCGGGTGATAGTCCTCTTCAGTGGTAGCTGAAGTTAATCTAAGGTGCAGTCTTGCATGTTGCACCATGTACTTGTAGGCTGCTGTATGGTCCAGTAACCTTAGGCTTACCCGGATCATATGTGAAGAATGCGATTGTTGATCCCAATGAAGATGCTGAATTGTCTGGAACCACTGGCATGGGAAAAATGTACTAGATGAATTTGTTGTGACCAAGGATATCAAAGATTGGTCTCATTCCTCCTTTGGACTTGGGGGTCAAGAAATACAGGGACTAAAATCCTTTTCTGGAAAGATGATGAGGAACCTGCTCCATAGCCCCCCAGAGCACACAGGGTTTGTACCTGCCACGAAAGCAATGACTCGTGAGAGGGCTCCCTGAAAAAGTACAGAGTAGGGGGATAGGATCTTAATGGCATAACCCAATCCCATCTCCTGTAGAACCTGTTCCTGAATAGATGGGACTGGGATATGATGATCACAACTGGAGCCATGCTCTCAAAACTTAAGTCAAATAGATTGTCCACTCAGACAGGAGAGGGTGGGTGGTTTGGCTAAAATTAGATCCAGAAACTAACTGTAAGGATGTCTTGGCCACTAACGGGCCTTCTGTAACAAAGGCTTTGAACTCTGTCTGGAGGATTCTGGTAATTTATCCTCAACTTTGGACATAGTGTCCCAGTTCACAAAAACCATACCTTGGCCACAGAGCTTGCTGGTTGGCAATATGCAGTTTGCAAGAATGAAGTCCAATAGATCTCCCTCCCCATCAAATCTAACCTTTTCTGTTGTCTTTCTTTAGGCATAGACATGTATCTCACCTGTCTGTCTCTCTCATTTGCTGCCATCACAACACAGGAATTTGGAGCTGGATGAGGGAAAAAACATTCAAAACCCTGCATAGGCACATAATATCTATTAGTGAGTTTTGTTGTGAGCGTTAACAAAGCCAGGATATTTCATGCAATTTAGCAGGCTGTAATATCACTTTGTTTATAGAGAGTGCTTCTCTCGCAGGAGCCATGGCTGGAGGATATCCAGCAGTTTATGGGTGTTTTTCTGAACAAACTTGGCATGAATACTTAAGGCCAATGCTATGCTTCTGAGCAGATATTATAATGACCTGAAATCCTCCAGTACTGAAGATGAGGACTCTGGTACCATTACATCATCTGGTGATAAGGAGTAAGGTGGAGGTGGGACAAACAGAATTCCTTGTGGGATAGCATCCGACAGTCAGATTCAGGAAGCTCCAATGTAGATGGAACTGCCTCAGCCAGTGGCTGCAGAACCGGTGGTTCCTGGAGGGACGCTACCAACGGTACAGGTGATCGTGCTCTAGAATGAGCAGATGGCTGGGACTTAGCCAACTGGGGGATTTCCAAGAGATTCCATGGAGGCCATTGCAGATAAGGATATGGCATCGGAGACCAGTAGGAACTAAGCCAGGGGCACTTGTCTCTGTGGTGGTAATGGTACCAATCCCAGTACTGACCATGATTCCCATTGTCTCGATGACCTTCAAGATCGAAAGCGATAGGAGGAAGCAGAGTGAGATGCCTCCAAACTCCACTTTGAGGACCCTTCCAGATAATCTGATGGTAGCAGGGGAGCTGCTCCTGATGGGGCCACCAAATGCCCTGCATCATCTGTGTTCCAACCTGACATTGTCATTAGTACAGGAGGAACAGTCAATGGCTTCTGACCACTTGTACCAGCCTCACACTCATATTTGACCCTGGAGCAGGCATTGAAGCTGGTCTCAGGCCTGCCAGATGCAGACTACATTGTAATCAATGTCTGTATAAAAGATTCTGTCCCCATTAGTGACACCCTCAGCGCCAATGAGGAAGACGGCTGCACCTCTGGACCGTAGGTAAACTGCAGGGTGGAGGACGTTGCTGTAAATAACAATAATTCTGCTCCGGTCCAGGTGGAACTGAGAACACCACAGATAACACTACTGCAGTCAATTGTTCCTGAATAAGCAGCAAGTCAGGACAGGCAGGCACAGCAAATCTGTTGCCTGGTATACAATTGGTGTGGAAACAGACAATGTTCCTTGGTACTGGATTCCTCAGATGTCCCCAAGGCAGTACCAGAGTCGACAGTATGGAGTACCCCTGGTCCTGCAATGGAACTGTTGAGAGGGTTGACAGCTGAGCTCTAGCCCACATACCCGCAGACTCACGGTGCTAGTTGGTACTTTCCCTACACAGAGAAGATGAATCTCCTTGTAGTCTGGAATGCCCCCAGTTCATTTCCTGGGTTCATTTTCTTGGGGGACCTGATGAAGGAGAGCATTCCCTCTTCTTTCTGGGCAAGGAATCCGAGCTCAGTCAAGAAGTCAGGTGCTTTTTTAGGAGCCAGACACTCCTTGATTATTCCTGTTACTGAGGCAAGCCTCATGGCCCGCTCAAGAAGCTGCTGCTTTAATCTGAAGTCTCTAGCCACCTGAGTTCTCTTCTTAAAGGAGTTACAGGTGAAGTGCCTTTCCTTCATGTGCCCTTCTCTGAGGCACATAAGTGTGGGTGTTGCTGTTGGGGATGGCTACCCCACAAAAAGGACAATGTTTAAACTACGGGAGAGCATCCCGCTGGGAAAAACTACCTATCTAACTACTACAAACTAAAAGTACTACTACTAACTACAGTAAAACCTGCTAAGAGTGACTACTCGTGAGAGTTAGCAAAAGTGGTCGCTTGTAAGAGGTGGTCTCTCTACAAAGGTTTGCACACCGGAGAGCAGCAGCTGCTGGAAGTAAGGAAGATTGGTTTCTTCTACAGGTTTGTTTTTATAGATAGGAGTAAGAAAATGTGGTCGCTGGTTGCAGATGACAGGTCATTGCTCTTCACATTTTCTTCACAGTTAAATTATAGGGGGGAAAAACATTCCGTGGTCTGTGCAAGTAGTCACTTGTGACAGGTGGTCTCTCTTCAGAAGTGGTTGCTAAGGCAGGTTTTACTGTTGTGACAAAGTTCCTCCTCTATCTTGGTGGGTCCTGCGCTTATTGGCGGATTTTCCTGCCTCAGAGATTCACCATGTGGTTTGGGGAACAGCCCAGAGACCTTCCCCTCTGGAAGAACCCACAGTCCAGGTCAATTGGGAGGTTTGGGGGGAACCCGGGTCTGCCCTCTACTCCGGGTTCCAGCCCAGGGCCCTGTGGACTGCAGCTGTCTATAGTGCCTCCTGTAACTGCTGCATGACAGCTACAACTCCCTGGGCTACTTCCCCATGGCCTCCTCCAAAAACCTTCCTTATTCTCACCACAGGACCTTCCTCCTGGTGTCTGATAACGCTTGTGCTCCTCAGTCCTCCAGCAGCACACCCTCTCACTCTCAGCTTCTTGCGCCTCTTGCTCCCAGCTCCTCACACTCGCCCCACAAACTGAAGTGAGCTTCTTTTAAAACCCAGGTGCCCTGATTAGCCTGCCTTAATTGATTCTAGCAGCTTCTTCTTAATTGGCTCCAGGTGTCCTAATTAGCCTGCCTGCCTTAACTGGTTCTAGCAGGTTCCTGATTACTCTAGTGCAGCCCCTGCTCTGGTCACTCAGGGAACAGAAAACTACTCATCCAGTGACCAGTATATTTGCCCTCTACCAGACTCCTGTACCCCACTGGTCTGGGTCTGTCACATTGTGTATATACAAAAAAGATAACCGAAAACAGTGAAGGCAAGTGTGAGGTAAGGTCACACCAAGTGCTAGCTGCTGGCGGTAGGAAGGAACTAAGCGGGGGGGTGTCGCTGCCCTTACATAATCATGGTGGCCGGGGGGCACTGACAAAAAGGGCATAAGTGCCGCCCCTACAGTTACTGCTAGGCAAAATTCTCTAACTTCGGTGAGCTGTGCATGCGCACACCTGAAACGAATGTCTTTAACCACTCGAAGAAGAACCTGAATGCCTGGCCAGTACCTCTGTCTTCATAGATTCATATATTCCAAGGCTCTGAGTAAGTTTCCCAAACCTGAGGAAGAGCTCTCTGTAAATTGGAAAGCATGTCTCTCTCTCACCAACAGAAGTTGGTCCAATAAAATATATTACTTCACCCACCTTGTCTCTCTGATATCCTTGGACCAAAACGGCTACCGCAACACTGCATAAAACAGGCCATAGAACTTCCCAAAACATTCTTAGAGAATATCTTTTAGAAAAACATCCAGTCCTGATTTAAAAATTGCCAGCGATGGAGAATCCACCACAACTCTTGTTCAATTGTTCCAGTGGTTAATTACTCTCACCAGTAAGAATTTTCACCTTAATACTGCCAGTCTATATTTATCTAGCTTCAGCTTCCAGCTATTGGATCTTTCTCTACTAGATTGAAGAGCCTGGTATTAAATATTTGTTCCCTGTGGAGATACTTATAGACTGCAAATTAAAGTTGGGCTACAATTGAAAATGGCATAAATTAGATTAGGAAGTAGAACAGTAGAACCTCAGAATTACAAACACTAGAGTTACGAACTGACCAGTCAACCACCCACCTCATTTGGAACCGGAAGTACGCAATCAGGCAGCAGCAGAGACGAAAAAAGCAAATACAGTACAGTACTGTGCTAAATGTAAACTACTAAAAAAAAAAAAAAGGAAAGTTTAAAAAAAAAAATTGACTAGCCAAGGAAACTGTTCCTGTGCTTGCTTCATTTAAATTCAGATGGTTAAAATCAGTGTTTTTCAACAATCCTAACGTTTTGTTCAGAGTCACGAACATTTCAGAGTTGTGAACAACCTCCATTCCCAAGGGGTTTGTAACTCTGAGGTTCTGCTGTATTAGAGAGAGAGGTGTGTGCTCTCTTCAGTTATGGACAACATTTGGTCAACATTTCTGTATGGTTTAAATTTCCATTGTCTTTCTTTCAGGAATGGCAGTGGTAAACCCGTCTCAAATGTGATCATAGACAAACAGAATTCTGATGATGAAGATGATCAGTTTGTAGTGGAGGCAGCACCACAGCTACCTGAAATGCCAGAAATGGAAACGGTCTGTTAATATAACAAAAACCCAGCATTTTTGTTCAAATGTGTGTTCAGAGTTCCCTTAATGCTGTCCAATTTTTTTTTATTTGAGCAGTTTCTTATCTGGGATGCATGCATGCTTTAGATCACAGGGATATAAACTTCCTTACAACTAAAAGCTTTTACTTTTTCTTATGTAGGAGCCAATAGTGGAGCTGGATGGTGATGAGAAGCATGGTAAGTTTCTCTGGCTCTTCTCTGTTCTTCTGTGATTCATACTCTACACAGGATGTAAAAGAATCTTAAATAGATAATGGGAATAACATTTCTTGATCATGATTTGATCTTGCATCTTGAGGGTATGTACTTCTAATTTATGCAATAACTTTAAAAAACAAAAATACAGAAACAAGCTATATAGCAAAAGCAATCTGTTCTTATTGTAACAGGGAAGCAGGATCTACAATCCAGGTAGGGATACAGATCTGTTAATGCATCCTGTTAGCAAGAGTTTAGAACCCTGCTGAGTAAATTCTGCTAACTTATTATGGTAGGTACAGCTGGTAAAGTCCATGGAGAACCAGCATATTATCAGATCAAAGTGAAACTGAACTTTGGTATCAGTATGTGTTTGCTGCCAAGTTTTAAAGAACTGGCAGAAATCACTGACTAAGCACCTTGAACCAAAGTTTGTTGACGTGCTCAACCAGCTTTTTACAGCAATAGCCTCAGGTGCAGAAAGAATATTTTCTTCATTTCAGTTTATTCAGCTGGTTCAATTCAATGACTAATTCACTCATAGTTGAGAAACTGGTTATGAGTTGAAAAAGCGGAGAAGTTTGTTTTCCTTCCCTAATCTATGAATAAAAACTACGGATGAAAGGATAAGATCTACTAATTCTAAAATCTTGAAGGACATGGTGACCAGAAACAATTTGTTCTCTTCATTAATTACAGATAATACTTCCCTTTGTTTATTAAATTAGTTTTAAATGCAAAACATCTTTGATAAACATTTTTTCTTACATATCAGCACGTTTAAAGTAATTTCATTTAATAAATAAAATGCCTTTTTTGTACATTTTTAATTGAATTTGAATTTCCATCCAAATAGAGATTGACACACATTTCAAGTAAAAAAAAATTATTCATCATCTAGCAAATAAGAAATGCATCATTCACATTCACCATTTTCTAACATAAAATATAAAACTTAAGAATCTAAATACATATAAGTTAAACTATATAATTGCTTAAATAAATGTGTATAATATAGTATATGCTCCTGGTTAGCAAAATAAGCACCAAAGTTAGGAGAATGGCTATATTTAGTTGCAAATCAACATGTTTTAATGGTTACCAACCAATGAGAATCAACCTTTCTCTTTAGGAAGATAACTAAAAAGTACAAATGCAAAACAGTATTAAAACCGAAGATTTAAATCATGGTTTCCTATTTTGATTATTTAAATCCTGATTAAAATTGGTGATTTAAATCAATCCACCAGGCAGCTAGGCTTAATTAGTTTTGTTTTGCAGTTGTGACTAAGGCCTGGTCTACACTACCCCCCCACTTCGGACTAAGGTACGCAAATTCAGCTACGTTAATAACGTAGCTGAATTCGAAGTACCTTAGTCCGAACTTACCGCGGGTCCAGACGCGGCAGGAAGGCTCCCCCGTCGATGCCGCGTACTCCTCTCGCCGAGCTGGAGTACCGGCGTCGACGGCGAGCACTTCCGGGATCGATTTATTGCGTCTAAACCAGACGTGATAAATCGATCCCAGAACATCGATTGCCTGCCGCCGGACCCTCCGCTAAGTGTAGACGTACCCTGAGTTACCAGTAAAGCAAAGCCCAAGAAGGAGCTAAGTTTGGTATTATTATACAGCCCATGTAGACTTTCTTTTGAGTGTGGTCGGAACTGTCAGGTCACACTGATATAATAAGCAGCACATGTTATCAGGAACTAAGCCTGTTGTCCTTTTAAATTATAATAATGCTGAATAGAAACTTAACTTCTGAGAAGTGTCTCCTGAAAAACAATGATCTAGATATGAGTTCTAATCTGAGCTCTACCACTGATCCATTTTGTGGCCTTGAGTGAGTCACTTAACTTCTGTCTCTGCCTATCAGGGACTGTGGTTTTGTGATTGCGGTAAGCCACCAAGGGGTAAATTCCCATTTTACATTGAGATAGTGCATGTACATTGGAGTTTTGCATCAGTGTAGCTACCCCAATACAAATATCTCTATATAGACAGGCCTTGGGATTGGAATGAGGATTGCCTAGTTTACAAAAGCTCCAGTTCAGCAAAGCACTTAAGCTTTTGAAAATTTTACCTCCCATGCTTAAGTGCCTAAGGGCTTGCCCACACTTAAAACGCTACAGCGGCATAGCTGCACTGTTGTAATTCTTCAGTGTAGAGACTACCTACTCCGATAGGAGGGACTGCACAGCAGAGGTAATCCACCTCCCTCAGAGGCGGTAGCTAGGTCGACTTAGCAATGTCTACATGGGGACTTAGGCCTGGTCTACACTACAGAATTAGGTCAACATAAGGCAGCTTATGTCGACCTATTTATTTCAGTGTCCATACTACAGCCTTGTTCCCGCTGATCTAAGTGCCCTGCTACACCTACATAATAACGCCACCTCCACAAGAGGCGTAGGGCTTATGTCGATGTAGTTAGGGCAATGCAGTATCCGCGTGGACACTGTGAGTTACTTACATTGGCTGTTGGCTGTCATTCTTGTCAATTTCATGGCTCCATGCTGGAGCCGTGAAACTGACAAGAAAACTGCTCACAGCTTGAGCTATTACCCAAGGGTGGGTGGGTGGCTCCAGCTAGAGCCTGGCTGTCCCCCAGGCTCCTGTCCCCCAGTCCAACTGCTGCGCTGGCTCTCTGCCAGGAGCCCCGCGACACCAAGGCTCCCAGCTCGCCTCCCCCACCCTCCCCCGACACACTGGGCTCTCAGCTCCCCGCTGGGAACCTGGCAGCCACCCAGGCTCTAAGCGAGGAGCTCCAAGTGGGGAGCGGGGAGCCAAGAGCATGGGGCGGGCGGGGGGGGGAGGCTGGGGCAGATGGGCTCCCAGCAGGGAGCTACGCAGAGCTGAGATCCTGGGCTCTCAGTCCCCCTTAAGTGTTCCTGGTGAGGAAGCACACTACCAACAGAAGGAGGACAGTGTGGACATGAACCACTGCAGTAATTGCTGCGGTAGCTGTAAGTCAACCTAAAATAGTTGGTAGTGTAGATATGCCTTTAGATCGGCTTAACTAAACCGCTCAGGGTTGTGGATTTTTCACACCCGAGTGACATAGTTATGCCAACCTAATTTTCTGCTATAGACCAGGCCTAACTCCTGCTGGTACTTAGGCGTCTAAGTCACTTAAATGCTTTTGAAAATGTTATCCATACTTAAATGCTTAGGTCTCATTGATTTCACATGCTTAAGTGCTTAGCTGAATCAGGGCTAAAACTAGCTAATGTTCGCATAGCGCTTTGAAAACATAACATACTATCTAGGTATCAAGTAGTGTGGTTGTTTCTCACAGCCATAAGAATGTTATGTTAGAAGTGTGAGAAAAGATGAGAAAAATCATTTGGGAACTGATTCTGGGCTAGCCCAGCAATCTGCAGGGAGTTAGTTTCAGACTTCATATTCAGTAGCCCAGCATGGTCTGTGTGTGACCACTTCAGTTAACAGGAAAAATGAGTTCTTCGAGTGATTGTTCATGTCCATTCCAAGCCAGTGTGTGTGCGCCGCGTGCACGCCAGCCGGAAGATTTTACTATAGCAGCGTCTGTAGGGTCGGCTTCGGCGCCCCCTGGAGTGGCGCCTTCATGGCGCTGTATATAGGGGCCAGCCGACCCCCCACCCCCTCAGTTCCTTCTTACCGCCGGTGACGGCTAGCTGGAACTTCGCTTGCTCTTCAACAATCGTGGCAGTGTTCCGTCGTTGTAAATAGTTAGTTAATTTGTTGTTTAGTGTTAACTTAGATATTAGTTGGGGGGTTTTCCCCAAGTTTTCGTCGCCCCACTGGGGCATGCCCGGGTCCCGAGGGTTCAAACTCTGCCGGGACTGCGGGAAATTCATGCCGAAGAGTGACCCGCACTCTTCGTGCTTGAGGTGCCTAGGGGAGAGCCACCAAAGAGATAGGTGCAGTATCTGCAGGGTTTTTTGCCCCAGGATTCTCAAAGATAGAGAGCAGAGACTTAAAGTCCTCCTAATGGAGGCGGCCCTGCGGCCGCAATCAAATCCCGGGCCTACCGAGCCGGCACCGAGCACTTCATCCTCGGTGCGCAGTGCCCCGGCACCGGAGATAAGTCGTGAGGCCAAGGCCCCCAAACCCTGGCACCGGAGAGAGTCAGCGCACAAGAAACCATCCTCGATGAGACACCGTTCCCCATCGCCAGTGCCGGTTAAAAGGAACAGGCCGGTGAGGGAACACTCTCCCCATCGGGACTCTAAAGGGCCGGCGCCGTCCACGAGTGCTACAGGACAATTCGCGCCGCAGACCCATCCGGCCATCCCGTTGACTCCCGCCCCGGAGAGGGTACGGTCAAATCCGGAAAAGCCTAGATCCACGGACATGATGGAGGAAGTGCGCCTCCCATCGACGCCGGAGGCGTTCGAGGCCGCTTCAGACCTCTTGAGCCTCCCGGTGCCGGCGTCGCCGCACCGGTGCAAAGAACCTCCGGCTACCGCTCGGCCCCATTATCAATCTAGGGGCAAACCGGCAATGCTCTCGCCGTGCTCCCCGCGCCGCGCCACTCTAGTGGCACCGGTGCAGACAGCACCCTCTACGGCGACAGTGGGTACCGCGCCTCCTATGTCCTACTCAGAGACTTTGGACTCGGAGGTGGACTCGTACCGCTCTAACAGATCGAGGAGTAGGCGATCGTCCTCGCGTACGAGTACCCAGCCGTACCCACCGCAGTGGCAACAGCAGTGGCAACCACCCCAGGGCCGTTCTGGACGCCGTGGGCCTACCGCCAGTCAGTGGGTCAGGCGTATGGACCCCGCTCACGAGCCATATCTGTCTCTTCGACGTCGGCGGCACCGCCGCTAATGCCACCACCACCTGACAGGAGTGTGCCACAAAGGGACACGGCACCACCTAGCCAAACAACGGCACCAACGGGGACCTTGCTCCCAACACCGCAGGCACTGTCCAGCACACCTCATCGCTCGGTGTCAACCCCGGTACCGGCCGCGGTGCCGCATCCCGAGTC